AAACCAAACCAAACCAAACCTAAGCTATATCCTAGACCCTTTCATTTTTTATTTTGAGAGAGAATCTCTAAGTTGCTAACTTGCTCAGACTGTGGTTGAATCTGTGATCTTCCTTCCTCAGCCTCCCCAGGGCTAGGATTACAGGCATGTACCACCCCATCTGGCTTTTTTGAGCCCGAGTCTCACAATGTAATTCAGTTTCTTTTTTTGGAACCAGGAATCGAATTCGTGCTTGCCAGGCAGGTCAGTTTCTTAATAAATAAAGTACTAAAAAGGCAATTATAAGTGCTGCACACTTGTAATCCCAGCACGTAAGACTGAGAAAGGAGAACTGCAGGTTCAAGGCCAGCCTGGCCTATGTAGTAAATTCAAGGCCAACCTTTATTACATAACAACATGGTCTCAGAAAGTAAAAAAAGCCAACTATAAGAAACGGAGGGGGTGCTGGGGATTTAGCTGAGTGGCACAGCACCTGCCTGGCAAGTGCAAGGTCATGAGTTCGATTCCCAGTACCGGAAAAAAAAAAAAAGAAACAGGGGTTGCTGGGGATATAGCTCAGTGGCGTAAGTGCCTGCCTGGCAAGTGCAAAGTCCTGAGTTTGATTCCCAGTACCCGCACCCCCCAAAAAAAAGAAATAGGTATATGCATGTTCCTAAACAAGTATAAATTCTCCTATAGCTGTATGTACATAACATAATTTAATACCAGTCTGGATAGTGTTTGTAGCTTAGAGAAAAGACACAAAACTTATTAGTCTTTAAGAAAAAATGCTTTTGTTATTTAATGAACGTTAGATAATTTTATAAAGTTCGAGTTTTATTTTATTAATGCTACTGTTAAAATTTTCCTTATACCTCCTAATAAAAGATGAGCTGTGAAATACCTGTGTGGCTGTAATGCGAGTACACGGATTAAATAAGAACAAGCCTTGTATGAGATCAAGCAAGTCATCTCCTGCTGCGATGAAGATGTGTTGCAGTGGGATTCCGGGGAAACTCTTGAACGTCACATAATCTGGCAGACTACACATGTCCTGTGAAAAGTTTTAGAATTCAAATTTGAATAAAGGATTGAAAGGCATACTACTGAAATAGAGAAGCAAAATTAGTATTTGCAAATGATATGTAGAAAATCTAAAGAAATCTATTAAAAACTGCAAAAACTAATAAATAATGCAAGGTACAGCAGAAATGATAAATGTAAAAAACAAGTCATGGCTCTATATACTAACAGTGAATATGGAGACACTGAAATTTAAAACATAAATACAAAAAAAACCCCCCAAAAAACTCAAAAACATAAATACCATTTACAACAACATAAAAATACGTATAATCTCATGTACTGAAAGCTACACAATGCTGATGAAATAAAAGATCTAGGGGCTGGGGATTTAGCTCAGCGGCAAAAGCGCCTGCCTGGCAAGCGCAAGGTCGTGAGTTGGGTTCCTGGTACCGGAGAAAAACCAAAAAAAAAAAAAAAAAAAAAAAGATCTAAATAAAATGGTGAGAAATCTTGAGAGATCTCATTCTTAAGCATCAGAAGATTCAACATAGCAAGAATTTTAATTCTCAAACTGAGACAAGATTTAAAAGAATTATCAAAATCTTACATACCGACCAGTTACTCTAAAAGCTCTATGGGAAGGAAAACAATCAGAGCAGCTGAAGCAACTTTGAAAAAAACAGCAAGAGGATACCTTCTACCTCATGTCAAGACTTAATATACAGCTACTTTAAGACTGTGTAGCCAAGCATGGTGGCACAGCCTTGTAATCTCAGCTCTTAAGAGGCTGAAGCAGGAGGATCGTTGTGAGTTTGAGACCAGTCTGGGCTACAAAGTGAGCTCAAGGCCAGCCTGAACTGCATAGCAAGACCCTACCTTAAAAAGACAAAAAAACCCAAAAAGATTGTGCAGTACTGGGGTAGGGTAGATGCACACATCAATGGAACACAGCAGATAACCTGGACATCTGCACATTATCTGCTCGATGGGTTTTTGAAAAAGGTAGAGTCTTTCCAACAAGTGATGCTGCGGGGGGACAGGAGTACCAGTCAAAACGAGGAAGCTGATTCTCAAGTTCCACATGTCATGGAAAACAAACTGAAAATGGACCATGGATTTAATATTACATGTAAAACTATGTTGTGTCTAGAAAAAATATAGAAAATTGTCAGAAACTGACATTTCACCTAGGTAAAAGAATTATCACCAACGCATGATCCATTAAAGGAAAATCTGACAAATCAAACTTGATCAAAATGAAGACTTACTATTATATACAGGTACAAATTCCACATGATGAATGTTATCACTATGTATATCTAAAATGTACCGATACAATTTTAAAAAATTAAAGACTTATTGTAGGGCCTGGGGATATAGCTCAGCAGCACAAGTGCCTGCCTGGCAAGTGCAAGGTTTTAAGTTCAACTCCCAGTATCTATCAATCAATCAATCAATCAATATCTCCTTTATTCTCCATGGTTTTAATTAAAAAAAAACTTATTGTAGAAGACCCTAAAGATAATGGGAAAAAAGAGCAGCATGAGAAAAAAATTTGTAAAACTCATATGTAAAAAGGACTACTATCTAAAATAAATCTAATTAGAAAATTAGGGGGAAAAGGAAAACAGGCCAAGGGACACATCACTAGAGATCCACCGATGGTGCTGAGTATCATGGTGCTCACCTACAATCACACTTACTTGGGAGGCTAAGGTGGGAGGACCTGAAGTTTCAGGTCAGCCTCCAGAAGTCAGTGAGACCCTGTCTCAAAATTAAGTTTTAAAGAGGGTTGGGAAAGCGGGTCAGTGGTAGAGCGAATGTCTAGCATGCACAAGTCCCTGTATTTAATCTCCAGGCCCAAAGAGTGGGGGAAATATAGTATATGGCAAATAAATACATGCAAATATATTTCATATTAATGGCAGAGCAGTAAATATTGAAATCACTATGAGCTATCACTATACTGCCCCCTGCAGAATGCTCAGTGGGAAAAACTCAACAGCAAAAGGACAACATTTTTACAAGGAAATTACAAAAATGGAAAACAGATTAGTGACGGGGCTGAAGGAGGAAGTAGGAGGAAGCAGGTCTGTCTATAGAGGCGATCTGAGGGAGCCTGTGGTGACTGTTTTTTCAATATTGCACACAGAACACAGAACCTTGCACTGAACTACATCCCCAGCGCTTTTTCATCTAGACAGGGTCTCACCAAGTGGCTAAGGATGCGCAGTATCCTTAACTATAACTTGCTAGTGTGATACTGTTCTGGTTTTGCAGCTTTGGAAAAGGTTGGTAAAGGGCACATGGGATATCTCTGTATTATTTCTTACAACTGCATGTAAATCTGTAATAATCTCAAAATAAGTTTAGTTCTAGAAAATGAAGGGAAACATCGATAGGCAACTACGACTTAGAAATCGTGTTTAAAGGGAAAAGAATACATGTTGTGAAGCTGACCTCTGGAGTCAGATTCAGCCCTAGCTGATACTGCAGACTTGGGTAAAGTACTTAACCTCACTAAGCCTCAACTGTCTCGTTTGTAGTACTCTGTGAGGATTACACATATTTATGAAAAGCTCACCATAAATGGTACAGAATAAGTACTCAGCAAATGATGGCATATTAGGGGCATATTTTATAATTAGAACCTATATTAAACTTTCAGTTAGGAAGTTGAGGAAACAATAGCACAAAAGAAATTGCTTAGGTATTTCCAGTGTCAGATAATTTCATTACAGTTTTAACCAGAAGATAAGGAACCTAAAATTTTCTCATTTCCATCATTTATTTATTCCTTAGGACACAGGACTACCACGGGAAGGAAAATTAAAAGCATTTTGGTGAGTTTTCTTTGGCCAGTACGGGGAATTGAATCCAAGGCCTTTACACTGAGCTACATCCCAAGCCCTTTTAAAAATTTTTTATTTTGAGGCAGGGCTGCACTAAAGTTAAGTACCTAGGCAGGGCTCAAACTTGTGATTTGCTTGCTTCAGCTTCCCAGAGTAGTAGGATTGCTGGCATGCACCACCACACCTAGCTACAAGTTGCTTCATTTTATTTTAGGAATAAGAGAGAGTGCACTACTGAACTATAATGTAAACTTTAGCAATTTAAGCTGGATATGGTTGTATACGCCTGTAACCTAGCACTTGGGAGACTGAGACAGGAGGATCCAGAGATTGAGGCCAGTCTAGGTTACATAGTACGTTCAAGGCCAACTATGGACTACATAGTCAGACTCTGCCTCAAAAAGTCAAAATTTAAACACTTGAATTGCTGTCTATTTTATGTTTCTATACATCTTTTTTTCCTAAGGTAGGTCCCACTTTGTTGCCCAGGATGGCTTTGAACCCCTGAGTTCGAGCAGTTCTCTTATCACAACCACCCCTGTGCTGCAATTAGGATCAAAGCCCAGACCACTACGGTTCTCTCCCTTTTAGAGAAAATGTCATGGAATAAAATAATCATACTATTGAAACATCAATTGTGTTAATGATAAAACACCTATGCCATTCAAGAAGACATTATTTAACCTGGAACAATCTCCAAAAAGAGTATTTATGCAGCCACTGAAGAGATCAATGATATATATATATACATATATATATATATTCAGCAAAAAGAGCTACTTTAGTTGAAAAACAAAATATTAAAGAGCTACTTTAGTTGAAAAACAAAAACCAAAATATTAAATATTAACACATACATATGTTTTTCTCCTTTATATTGGTAGCAGGATTGAACCCAGGGACTCATGCAGGCTAGGTGCACATTTTACCACTAAACTCTTTCCCTAGCCCCCACTTTCGTTACATGATGAAGAATATGCAACTCTGTTGTGATGTCTGTGTGCATGAGTGCATTCACAGCTCAGCTTTACAGCAAACTGCTAACAGGGACTATCCTGGGAAGGAATTATCACTGGAGGAGGTGAAGGGCTGTAGCGATGGTATGTCGAAGTTTTTTCCTTAATTAACACTTTATCATTTGAAATCCTATAATAAGGATGCATTACGAGTAAATTGAGACAATAAAGACATTTCTTCAGTAACCATACAACAGGACAGAAAGCCTATGACCACCGCATAACTTTAGCAAATCCTAAAGACATTTCAAAGAAAATGCATGGAAACTCACAGGCCACTGCTCCTCCGTCGGTGTGCCTAAAGTCTCAAATATTCTTGTAAGCTGATCAAGGTCCGAGTCTCCTGGCAAAAAAGGAACCTGGGGTAAAATAAAGAAAAAGATAAGACATTGCAAGATGGTTTGTGATAGTTATTGTACAAATAAACTATTTATTTATTATTATTTTTTTTTTTATTGAGACAGGATCTTGCTGTGTAGTTCAGGCTGGCCTTCAACTCATTATGTAGCACAGGCTGGCCTCAAACTTGTGGCAATCCTTGTACCTCCACATCCCAAGTGCTGGGATTACAGGCGTGCAACACCACACCCAGCATGAACTATAAATTTAATAAAATAATTGAAAAAATGTTAGAAATAAAGAAAGGATTACTTACTTTATTCACTATTACTTATTTCACTCTAAGAATTTCTAATAAACTCTCATCATGTAACAGATACCAGGCTAAAGCTTAGCTCCTATAACCAGAGTAAGATAGTCCCTGCTCTCCCCTGAAGTGAGGTGATAAAACACTGTGACACAAAAACAAAGGATTCACAGTCTGATAGTTCAGCATCCTATCCCACAGGGAGACAGCACCCTGACCACCCAGGGTGCTCAGGAAAAGTTTCCCAGAGGAGGTGGCAGTGAACGGCAAAGGACACACAGGAGCCGTGGTACTCAGAAGCACCTCAGATGGAAGCAGAGAACCATGCTAGGGAAGATGCCAAGCCTGAGAGGGAAGGGAACACATCAGTATTCCAACCTCACTGAAATACTTTCTCGGCAAATTCTTTCTGTAAAGAGGTGCACTGCCAAACTTTAGTCATCACAAGTTGAAAGTTACAAGCAACAAACTATCAACATCTCTGCTACCCACAGACATTATTTTCCAATTCATTTTTCTCAGATATCTATAAACAAATGGAAAAAGGCTTTATTGGAATACAATGGTCTTGAGTGCCTTTAAGAAATTTAAAAATACTTGCAAAAATATGTAAAAACATCCCTCATACCAGTTATCAGTTTATTGCTTTTCAACCGTAAATTCACCTTTCATTTTCTCTGCAAAAACAGATCTGGGCCCTTTAAATACTTTCCCTCCACCATGGGCTCGGAGCTTTGTCAGTAGAGGGTGCCTGGGACACAGCACAGGGAGCAAATGCTTTGCTTCCAGGTTGAAGGCTTGCTCGCTGACCCTGCAGCACCCTAGGGCTCTCTAGCTCCAGACCTCCACAGTGTGCGGGACTGGCCGGTCCCCCAGTGCTTGGCTCCCTGGTGTGGGGCCAGCAGAGCTCTAGAGTGACTGCAGAGCCACTTCCTCCTGTGGGACATTTCCTGTAGCCTTGCAGCACTTTTCAAGAAGCAGACTTCTAGCAAGTTCTACCCGTACAGATCCACAGCACCTCTGCATCCAAATACATTTTAATCATCTACCCCTCATTATCTTCCATTACCCCCCTTTTATTCCCTTTCTTTTGTCTAATAATGGTTTCCAGTCTTTCATATCTTTTTTATTTATCTGTTTATTAAAACTTATTTTAAGAAATAAAAGGAAAACATATTAACAAACAGACATCCATTTACAAAATAGCGCAAGAACAATACAAACAAAACAGAGTTACAGACAAAGTTGTAGGAAATTAACAGTTGGGGTTGTATTAAGTGTTGTTATCTTCAAAGTGGTTTCTCAGGAAAACAAAGACACATGCAAGATTCATCAAACAAGCAATCATTAACTGTTCCTTTCTGCACAGGAACAGAAGACAGAAATACAACTATGTTAACTATCCTGTATATACATACTTACATGATTTCCCCTGCTTTTTTCCCACACCCCAGTTGCCCTTTACTTTTGAGCATTTTCCTTTCATTTCACAATGTCCATCATACCTCCTAGTTTTTATTCACTCTTTCAGGTCTTACACTAGTAAGACCATACGATGCTTATACATGCAGGTCTGATTTATTTCACTTATGAGTATGGTCTCTAGTTGTGACCATTTACCTATAAAAGCCTCCAGTTTATCTTTCTTTATAGCTGAGTAGTACTCCATTATCTAAAAGTACTACAATGTTTTTATTCAGTCCTCAGTGGATGGATATTAGGGTTGCTTCCACAGTTCAGCAATTACAAATTGCGCTGCTATGAACTTGGGTGCACATATATGGCTGTGATATGATGTTTTCAGATCTTCTGGGAAAATATCCAGAAGGGGAATACCTGGGTTGAATTGGACCTCTAGACCTAGTTTGCTGAGGAGTCTCCAAACTGATTTCCACAGTGGTTTCACCAGTCTGCATTTTCACCAGCAGAGGAGAAGAGTTCCTATTTCTCCACAGCCTCACCAGCGTTTGTTATTGGTTGATTTCTTAATGATAGCCATTCTTACTGGGGTGAGATGAAATCTCAATGTCGTTTTAATTTGCATTTCTCAAATGACTAATGATGTTGAACGTTTTCTCATGTATTTATTTGCCATTTGTATTTCCTTATCTGAGAAGTGTGTATTCATCTCAGCTGCCCATTTTTGGATTGGGTCTTTGAAT